GCGCGCTTTTCCCGCTCGGCCGCCTGGTGAGCATGCGCAGGCGGCCTTCTTCCGCGACGGTGCCGGCTTCCCAGAGCTTTTTCCCCCCGTTTTTCGCCCACGCACGTGGCCTGCCTGAGAAAAATCACCTCAGTGGACGGTGTGAGGAATTTGCATCTTCTTTGAGACGAAATGAATAGGCATTAGCTCCCTCAACGACTACACCTCCCAGGGTGCCCTGCGCAAGCGGGGAGCCATGGATTCGGGGACTCGTAGTCCCTTCGTCTGGGCCATGCCTGCCGGGACTTGTAGTCTCTCCGGACTCCGGTCGTCCGTCTTGTCCCCGCACCAAGGGTTGCTGGGACTTGTAGTTACAATGTCTCAGGTGGGCTGTGCGCCCCCAGCGGGTCCTGCCTGCTGCTGCGGCGGATCCTGCCCTGAGGTTCCGGAGCGCTTGGTGGCGTTTTCCCAGACATAAGTGGTCAGGGGTCCCCAGCGTCTGTCCAGAGGGGCCTGAGTGCACGCGCGCGGGAGTTAGCACGCGCAGCAGTGACCATGGTCTTAGATATGTCCTACAGCTAACACATAATATAAATAAGTGATGGCGGCCGGGCACGGTGGCTCACACCAGTAATCCCAGCCCTCTGGGAGGCCGAGGTGGGCGGATCACCTGAGGTGGAGGTTCGAGACCAGCGTGGCCAACATGGCGAAACCCCCCTCTCTACTAAAAGTACAAAAATTATGCCTGGCCTGGTGGCGCGCACCTTGTAATCCCAACTACTCGAGAGGCTGAGGCAGGAGAATCGCTTGAGCCCGGGAGTCAGAGGTTGCCGTGAGCCGAGATCGCGCCCCTGCACTCCAGTCTGGCGACGGAGCGAGACTCTGTCTCTAAAAAAATAAAAAAGTGATGGCGTGAATGTGCACACGTTATCGTTTATGTAGAATAAATGTGCATTTGTGGGTAATCATAGGAAAAATTCCCAAACTATAGGGCAATTCCCAGAAATGTCATTTCTGCTTATCTCCCTCTGCTTATCTAGAATTACCTTGCCTTTCATTTTCCTCTTTATACTCCTGTTTTCTGAATTATTTGCAATGAGCAAGAATGCCTTTGATCTCCCAAACACAGGGCAAGGGAGCTATTTTCACTGGGAAAAACAAAATGCTTTACCTTGAATTTCCTGCCCAGCTCCCTTTTGCCAATAATAAAAACAGGATTCGGTGCAGTCATGGGCTATGCGACCTTGGGCAACCTTACCGAGTTAGTCTCCTCTAGAATTAGGCTTGGAGGTTCCCCTGAGGCCGGTGGCTGGGTTACTTCACAGTAAAAATGACTTACAAACACTCCAAGGAGGAGCCTTGACAGAATGGCAGCACTGGGACAGGTGTCAATCTGAAGATGGGACCTGTCGTTTTTCAACATGAAGATTGGCTCCAAAGAGATTAGAAAAATTGCCCAGCGAGGCCACAGGGCTGGAGAGAGGCACAAGCCGAGTTTGCAATACAGAACACCTTGCTTAGAGTGTGGAGTCCACTCACATGGAGGGAAAGGGTGCATGCGGGAGCTGCCACGGAATATTCCCTCCGGCAGTGGAGACAAAACATGTTCTAGGGAGATACGCCTTTTGTCTCCACCTCCACCTCAATCACGGCTGCATTCAAATATTAATACTTGCCCATGTAAGAATTCTTAGCATCCATGCCTGAATATCTGGCTCGGAAACAGACCAACTTAGGGTGATGTTGTTCGTGTTATTTCAGAACATCCCCAAGTCCGTGTCTGGAGCTGCCTTTTCCCTATCCGCAGGCCTTGTGCGATGCTGGGCCCAGCGTCATGAACAGGTGTGAGTGGACGGGAGAAGGAACCTGTGGGCAAAGGTGAATCTATCTGTGACCATCCAACAAGCTACAGTGAGATGTGTTGAAGGCCACTGCTGAGTAGGTCATGATCAGAAATGAAGCCAATCAAAACTATGATTGTGCCTATGCTGCAGTTGTTGATTGTTTTGTTTGTTTTGTTTGCATCAGGGTCTTGCTCTGTCTTCCAGGCTGGAGTGTGGTGGTGCAATCATAGTTCACTGCAGCCTCCACCTCTCGGGCTTAAGTGAGCTTCCCATCTGAGCCTCCGGAGTAGCCGGGCTACAGGCACGTACCACCATCATTGCCTAATTCTTTTGTTTTTTGTAGAGTTAGAGGTCTCAGTACATTGTCCAGGCTGAACTCCTGGACTCAAGCAATCCTCCTGCCTTAGCCTCCCAAAATGTGAGGGTTACAGGCATGAACGACTACACTTTTTTGTTTTTGATGGTTTTAATTTAGTTTTTATTTTGCTGCTCTGGAAGCTAAAACAGAGGAAGACACTGTTCAATATTGGCATATAGTTGATTCACTGTAATTTTTTAAAAATGAAGTAGCGAGTCATCAGCAAAGACCGCTGTCTGTAGTGAAGGCTCACTTACTCACCAGTCGGTACAAGGATCCGATCTGGTCCCCTGGAGTTAATGAAGTTACAGTCACATTAGTGAGGGCGTTATAAGAGGAGCGGGAAGTGCGCTCTGGCCTGTGTGGCACCAGATATGGGGGCCACTTAACATGTGTGTGCACTAGGCCATTCGTAAAGATCACAGAGGTCCTTTCGTCAACACCTCGAAACGCCCACGTCAAGAAAACCCTGAAAGCTTCCGACGGTTCCTCTCTCTGAAAATGTCACCAGGGTAGAGAAAGAGAAATTATCCACGTTGCACTCAGCGGCCCAGGAAAAGCCTAGGAGGCCGAGTGGAATGCTGGAACGCTGAGCCTGGCTGCCCTCAAGTGCGAGGACTTGGAGTTTGCCCGGCCAGGGCTTAGAGTCTGAGCCTTCCCTTGGCAAGTTGCTGAGGCTCTCAAGCCTCGGCTTCCCACTCGGGGAACTGGTGTTTAGATCCCACAGCTCACAGGGATATTGGGAGGGGTCCATGGCATGGAGGTGACGAAGCGTTTAGTAGAGGGTCTGATCCCAGATGTGCTCATGTTACCACGGGCTGAGTGGCCACGAGCCGGGCACATTTCACTGTAATCCCTATTCTTTGTGAAGAACAGGAAGGTAAGAGTGGTTGAGTGATACACCTGGGGTCACACAGCCATCGTGGGGGTAGAGATGAGAGGAGGCAGGTGCTGAGATGTGGCAGCAAAGGTAGTGAAGGTGCAACCGCGTCCTTGTCAGCGAGGAAGGGGTGTCGTCTTGCTCCTGCGGCAACGGGGAAGACTTCACAAAGTTTGGGGCCAGAGTGGGTAGGATCAGATTTGTGTCTTGAAAAGTCCATCTGGCGGCCAGGCGCGGTGGCTAACACTGTAATCCTAGCACTTTGGGAGGCCGAGGCGGGCAGATCACCTGAGGTCGGGAGTACGCAACCAGCCCAACCAACATGGTGACACCCCGTTTCTACTAAAAATGCAAAATTATCTGGGTGTGGTGGCGCATGGCTGTCATCCCAGCTACTCAGGAGGCTAAGGCAGGAGAATCGCTTGAACCCGGGAGGTGGAGGTTGCGGTGAGCCAAGATCACACCACTGCACTCCAGCCTGGGCAACAAGAGCGAGACTCTGTCTCAAAAAAAGAAAAGAAAAGCCCGTCTGGCTGGAGCACTGGAAAAGGAGTGCGGGGAGGGAATATATTATCCTGCATGAATTTGGGGAGCGCAGTGGAGAAGGCTGTGGCAGGCTCCAAGTGAGAGATGGAAAGAGACAGAGGCTTGCTGCAGGGGGTTGCAGTGCGGACGGGATGAAGAGAAATGGGCAGATTGGAGAGGTTCCACAGGGTGAAGTCCACAGGACTTGCCAATGAGCCCAGTACTGGGGGCGGCCAAGGGAGAGGGGGTGTCCAGGTGCCATACTGGATGGTGGACGCACAGCTCCCGGAGGTGGGAGACCAGACATCATGGCCACCGCGCATGGTCGTGGGGACTGTCCCTGAAAACACGTCTTTGCAATCGTTCCTCGGGGGGCGCTCCTTCTGTAATTCGTCCTCCACTCTCCCCATCCCCCCACCCCACTTTGCCACTTCATGCAGGGGCACTGTAAGGGTTTGAAGGTCTCACTGGAAGAGGTCAGCTTTGGGGTGAACTAGAACCCTGAAAGGAGACCCCATTGGGAAACATGATGATCCAGGGGTGACAGGAGGGGGTGGCCATCAGCACCACTCAGCCCCACCTGGCATGGATCCCACCTGCTCCAGGGACAGGCCACACACTCTGGGCTGTCGAGAGAGACCAGGATCCTACCCAGTCACTGCTGTGTGGATACGGTGCCCTCTGAAACTGGGGAAACAACCTAAGCTTCCTGTATCTTCCTCCCTTGTAAAGTGGGTCAGCAAGGCTCAAATATGGGGGCCACTTACTTGTGTGTGCGCTAGGCCATTTGTAAAGGTCACAGAGGCCCTTACTGTCTGCGTAGTAACATGCATTTGAGACAGAGAGAGAGAGAGAGACTGGCCTTGCCTCGGCCTAGCACTTTGACTGATTTGTTTTGTCCAAACAAACATACGGCCAAGCAGTCTTCATGGTGGGTTCTCAATCTGGGCTGATATGAGACCCTCTGAGAACACCCAAGCCTGCCCCTCCAGGGCTGGGGCCAGGTTCACCGGCTCCAGAAACCCCCGGGAGTCCACCGCACAGACTCCCTCATCTCTGTCTCTGACTCTCTCTCTCTGATTCTCTCTCCACCCCGCCCTTCCCATCTTTGGGCTTGGTTTTTCCCCATTTTTTTTTTTTAGGCGGAGTCTCGCTGTGTCACCCAGGCTGGAGTGCAATGGCGTGATCTGGGCTCACTGCCACCTCCGCCTTCCGGGTTCAAGCGATTCTCCTTCCTCAGCCTCCCGAGTTGCTGGGATTACAGGCGCTTGCCGCCAAGCCTGGCTATCATTTTTGTAATTTTTTAGTAGAGACGGGGTTTCACCACATTGGCCAGGCTGGTCTCAAACTCCTGGGCTCAAGTGATTCTCCCACCTCGGCATCCCAAAGTGCCGGGATAATAGGCGTGAACCACCTCGCCTGGCTGGTTTTTCTCCATTCTTGAGCAGGATCTCGAGAAGGGGTCCCAGCAACTACCAACAGGTTTTTCCAGTTCAGCCATCCCCTGGGAGAGGGAGGACCTCTTTCCTCAATCATTCCAGCAAGACTCCCGGGGCGACGCTTACTGGCCAGCCTGTGTACCTGGCAATGACCGTCACTCCGAGTGGCCAGTCCTGAGACACGTCCGGGGGAAGGGTCAGCCTGGTCCAGCCTCGTGGAGGGCAGGTGGGGAGGGCTGGTCTCCCAGAGCAAACCCAGCAGCTGCCAGGGAGAAGAGCTGGGTGTGTGCAAGCAGAAACAGCACCGGTCGCCAGCGGGGTCCCCCAGGGCTCTCCTCCTGCCCGCGTGAATGCTGACGTCAGCACCGACGTTCTGTCGGGCGGCAGCTCTGTCCTCCTCTCTGAGAATGGGAGCAGCCGTTGATGCGAACTCCCCAGGAGAGGCTGCGTATGGTGCAATTAATCCAGGTCGCCCAAGCCAGACAGCTGATTAGGATCTCAACAGGGGCTGCTGGGCGTTCGAGTCCTTATTAATGAGAAGTTGCTGCTATGAAGCAGGTGGGGGAAACAGGTGTACAAATCCATGCAATCAGTAAAAACCCATAAAAAATCCAGTGGCAGTGACAGTAGCCCAGAGGGCCAGGGAGCCCTTGCTTTTCCAACTCGCTGTCTTCCAGGCTCTGTCGGTGGTCGGCGTGGCCCGTGGAAATCAACGAGAACGTGCCCGCCAGAAAACACGAAGAAAACCCAGGAAATTAGCAAGGGAAGAAGAAAAGAAGATAGCTTGACCACCTCTCAGAGAAAGCAGGGGGACTCTGAGATCATGCAACAAAACAGAAGACAGCTAATGAGAAATCTATGCAGACAAGAGAAAAGTGATAACTGGCGATTTGGAAAACCCGGGCGCTCCTGCCGGCTGGGTGTATCATAAGCCCTAAGAGGAAGATTTTGTAGAGAGAACAGTCATTACACATAACTTATCCTTTAAAAAGATTTTAAACTTTACCTTTCAGATTGACTTAGTGTGATGTTTTAGAAGCATTCGTCAAAGAATAAAACACAAACCATGAAGAAAAAAAACAAAAGCCCAGCGGCTCAGCGAAAGAAATTACTGTGAACAAAACTTGTGCAGAAACTTTTGTGTGTTTTCAAGGATTTTGTCCAATGCAAGTTTTTCCTATTTGATTTTTTCACCTAAAATAGCATTTCTTCATGGACACTGTATCATTGTGAGATCATGGAGTGCGGTGGAGAGCAGTCAGTGCATTTATAAATGACTTTCAATTTCTGGCTGGGCGCAGTGGCTCACGCCTATAATCCCAGCACTTTGGGAGGCCGAGGCGGGCAGGTCACCTGAGGTCGGGAGTTCACGACCAGACTGACCAACATGGAGAAACCCTGTCTCTACTGAAAATATAAAATTAGCGAGGCGTGGTGGCTCATGCCTGTAATCCCAGCTACTCGGGAGGCTGAGGCAGGAGAATCACTTGAACCCAGGAGGAGGAGGTTGCCGTGAGCCGAGATCGCACCACTGTACTCTAGCCTGGGCAACAAGAGCTAAATTCTGTCTCCAAAAAAAAAAAAGAGAAAAAAAGAAATGACTTTCAATTTCTATCACGTGAGAATAAAGCCCTATTTCAAAAAGTGATGCAGAGAAATTTGAGGGTTCTCAGAGAATGGTGGGCCCCAGGCTTCTCTCACTCACTCCAGTACAAAGCTTTTCACACACACTTGCCATGAACATGCATATATGTACATTTGTATCTGTGTGTCAGGTACTAATGTAGTGTGGGCTCTGTGGGACATATGAAAAATAGAAAATCTTAACAGGTGAGAAAAAAATAAGAATAGAAATTTCAATCTTCTGCACGTGGAAGGGTTATCTGGGTACACAGGGTCCATTTTAGAAAAAATCAATTAAAGAGGGTTTGACTTAAACATTTTGGGTTCAAGTATGAAGAATGTTTGTAAACAGACAGAGAGGAGCAGTTTCTTGATCTCCTACCTTCTAATTTAAGAAATGAAAGCCGGGCGCAGTGGCTCACGCCTGTAATCCCAGCACTTTGGGAGGCCGAGGCGGGCGGATCACGAGGTCAGGAGATCGAGACCATCCTGGCTAACCCGGTGAAACCCCGTCACTACCAAAAAATACAAAAAACTAGCCGGGCGTGGTGGCGGGCACCTGTAGGCCCAGCTACTCAGGAGGCTGAAGCAGGAGAATGGCGTAAACCCGGGAGGCGGAGCTTGCAGTGAGCTGAGATCCAGCCACTGCACTCCAGCCCGGGCAACAGAGCGAGACTCCGTCTCAAAAAAAAAAAAAAGGATGAATGAAATTGCACCTATTTTGTGGCAAGCAAGTGCTCTGTGACTTCAGGTGCCCTGGTGGGTGGACAGAAGCTGACTCCTCCCCCAGCCCGTCCACCCAGCAGCACTTTGGCCAGTCCCATTCCTGTACGTCTGAGCCTGCCAGTCCCTCCTCACATGTACACCGTGGCTTTGTGTCTGCTATTGAGTGTCCCGGAGCCCCAAACCACGGGGTCAACACCACGAGAGAAACAGGGACTCTGCTCTCATCCCCTCACCCCCACCCCACGTAATCCCCTGGTGCTCACACAGCCCCCCCGTAAAGTTTTTCTAGCTCCCTGGCAGACTTGTGCCGCTGTTTGCCAAATCAAAGCCCAGTGACCTGAGTGGCCTGTCCCCAGCAGAGGCCACTTTTCCCTGTGGACCCATCCCGTTGGGAAAGGCATGGGTTGAACTTTAACCATTAGGCTCCGGGGTTGGGATGAGTTTCTACAAAAAGAGGTGGGTACACGCCAGTCCACAGTGGTCCTGATCAAAGTGAGGACAGCAGGGAACAGCACCCTCTTCAGATTGGAGTCAGTGGGAACAGACCCAAGATGTCGGGGAGGAACGCTTGGAAGACCTCAGCTTTCTCCTTGGTGGAGCAGATGTGGGCCCCCCTCGGGAGCCGTCCAACGAGGCCAGAGCGATGGTGTTCTCAGCATTCCTGTGCACGGCAAACCAGCACTAACACTTGTAAGTAGAGCCTCAAATTTCCCAAGATGCAACTGGATCCTTGTCTTAGCTGATAGGGTCTCTCGAGACAGGAGAGGAGAGACCGTCCAAGCCAGATAGGTTCAGATTTCCACTCTGTTTCTATTTTTTTTTCTTTTTTCTTTTTTCTTTTTTTTTTTTTTTTGAGACGGAATCTTGCTGTATGGCCCAGGCTGGAGTGTAGTGGCGTAATCTCAGCTCACTGCAACCTCCCCCTCCCGGCTTCAAGCAATTATCCTGCCTCAGCCTCCTGAGTAGCTGGGACTACAGGCGCCCGGCACCACGCCCAGCTAATTTTTTGTATTTTTCGTGGAGATGGGGTTTCACCGTGTTAGCCAGGCTGGTCTCAAACCCCTGACCTCATGATCCGCCTGTCTCGGCCTCCCAAAGTGCTGGGATTACAGGCTTGAGCCACCGCGCCCGGCCCTCTTTTTTCTTTTTTTGATGAAGTTTTGCTCTTTTGCCTAGGCTGGAGTGCAATGTCATGATCTCGACTCACTGCAACCTCTGCCCCCCAGATTCAAGTGGTTCTCCTGCCTCAGCCTCCCAAGTAACTGGGACTACAGGCACCTGCCACCGCACCCGGCTAATTTTTTGTATTTTGGTAGAGACAGTGTTTCACCATGTTGGCCAGGCTGGTCTCGAACTCCTGACCTCAGGTGATCCACCCACCTCGGCCTCCCAAAGTGCTAGGATTGCAAGCATGAGCCACCATGCCCGACCACACTCTGTTTCTCTTGTATTTGGTGACCTTGGGTGAATCATTTAGCCTCCGTTTCAGGGGTCCTGGGGAGGGTGAGATGCTGGGAGCAGGCGGGTAGTCCGTGTTCCCACAGGACATACTGGCATGACTCACCATCCAGACCCGGCGGAATGGGCTACACTAACCAGTCACTATAGCTCCTAAACTTTTCGGCAAAGAACGCTTTCAAGCAAACCTGTAACAAATAAACCACTCAGCCAGCTCTGCCAAGAAACTGCCCCGTGCCAGCCCCTCCTGGCTGCATGGTCAGTGCCTTGTGACCTCGGACGAGGCCCTTCCTCTTTCTGGGTCTCAGGTGCTTCCTCTGCAGAATGAGAGCCTGCTTCGGCAGCTGCCAAGTTCTCTTCTAACTCAGATCTTCCACACGTTCCGTGTTCGGGCCATCCAAAGAGGATGGGCTTAGGAGCCGGACCCCAGGCATGCGGTGCTACTGACGCTGGCTGAGGTGGAACCTCGGCAGGTCTTCACCCCCGAGCCTCCATGTCCTCATCTCGAGATGGGGGTGGCCAGACTTTCCAGGGCCATGGAAGGATGACGTGATGCATGTAGAAAGCCTGGCCCTCTCCAGATTCTCAGTGAGCTGCACTCATTCCCTCTGTTGGGGTCCATACCTGTGGACTGGAGTGCAGTGGTGCATCTCGGCTCACTGTGGCCTCTGCCTCCTGGGTTCAAGCGATCCTCTTGACTCACCCTCCCAAGTAGCTGGGACTACAGGTGTGCACCGCCACGCCCAACTAATTTTTGTATTTTTAGTAGAGATGGGATTTCGCCAGGCTGGTCTCAAACTCCTGACCTCAAGTGATCTACCTGCCTCGGCCTCCCAAAGTGCTGGGATTACAGGCATGAGCCACCACGCCCGCCCCCGTCTTTTATTCTTAATGACCGTTAAGAGTGCTAGGCTGCCTAGATTGGAATCTTGACCCCACTGCCCTACGGCTGTTGCCCCTCTGTGACTTTTCCTTTTTTTTGAGACTAATTTCAGTCTTGTTGCCTAGGCTGGAGTGCAATGGTGCGATCTCCAGCTCACCGCAACCTCCGCCTCCTGGGTTCAAGCGATTCTCCTGCCTCAGCCTCCCAAGTAGCTGGGATTACAGGCATGTGCCACCACACCCGGCTAATTTTGTATTTTTAGTAGAGACAGGGTTTCTCCATGTTGGTCAGGGTGGTCTTGAACTCCCAGCCTCAGGTCATCCGCCCACCTCGGCCTCCCAAAGTGCTGGGATTGCAGGCATGAGCCACCGTGCCTGGCTGTCCCCTCTGTGACTTTCTTAACTTCCCCCAGCCTTGGTTTTGTCGTCTGTAACAGGGGGTTGATAATGGTGCTTACTGCACAGTGTCGTTGGGAGAAGGGTCCGAGGTGGGACCTGCAAAGGCTGGGGACAGCACATGGCTCCAGGAAGCCCTCGCTAGATGCCAGCTGCTGCTGTTGCTAACAAAGGCAGAGGTGGGCGCCTTGTGTCTATTTAAGCATTGCCCTGTCAGTGGGCAGCAGGTAGCATCCCATTTCTTACTATGGCAACATGTCCTCTTACATCTTGTGCTAGAGAGAGTCATATTCTGTATTAGCACCTAAATCCATTTACCCCATGGTCCTCAATCTGTTCCCAGCGAACAGAGGGCTCTGCCAAATCATTTCAGAGTTCCACAAAGAGCAGAATATTCTGCCAAGCGGGGAAGATTGGAACATCATAAGGAATTCATCCTTCTATGTTTGTATTTTATTTATGGGCATTCTGAAGGTTATTTCATTTGGGAAAAGAATATCGTTACTAAAAATGATTGAAAAATCACTGGTGGTTTGGCCTTGAGAGAAAAGTCAAAGAGTTACAAAACGTTCAGTGATAATTTTAGAACCAGGCATGGGGGCTCACACCTGTAATCCCAGCACTACTTTGGGAGGCTGATGTGGGAGGATGGCTCAAGGCCAGGAGTTCAAGATCAGCCTAGGCAAAACAGCAAGAACCCATCTCTTTAAAAAAAAAAAAATGAAAAAATTAACTGGACATGGTGGTGCTCACCTGTCATCCCAGCTACTCAGGAGGCTGAGGTAGGAGGATCACTGATCCCAGGAATTGGAGGCTGCAGTGAGCCCTGATCAGGCCACTGCACTCCAGCCTGGGTTACACACCAAGACCCTAAGAAAAAATAATAATAATAATTTTAGGGATCATTTAATCATGTTTTCCAGTCACATTTCAGGGTGTGCACTGGCAGTACCCATCTATTCCTAAGTGTGTGATCAGCAACATTACATTGGTAACTTAAAATTGGCCATGGTGAAAATATTTACACCACAGTAATTGGCAAACACTGGAAATCAAAGATTCTAATTTCCTGGGAGAACGGCTTATTAAACACCAACCAGCACACCGCTGCACATTCTTGGACATTTTACCGGGTATTTCCTGCTCAGGTGTGCATAAGTCTTCTTGGGTTTGGCTCCCCCCGGCTGAGTGTGGCTGGGCTGGCCTCCCCACTCTGGGTGGGTCCAGGCCTGCTCATTGCATCTCTCATCCTCCCTCCGCAGCCACCTGAGGCCTGTTCTTCTCACAGCGGAGGGCGGGCACTCATAGGGCGAGGCCAGTGGTGCCCGTGTATTCCAAGCTACTGCTCACGTCACGTCTGCTCATGTCCTGGTGGTCAAAGCAGGTCACCAGGTGGCCAAGCTTAGTGACAACAGGGGAGGGGATGGCTCCTCCCATGGAGGTTAAGGGGGAAGGAATTGGAGATTTGCTGAACCATTGTCAAACCTGGAGACTGAGAATGCATCGAGGAGAGAGGGTCTCCTTCCAGGCTGCCCCCATGTGAATTAGGAGCAAACACTGGTCCCCTGGGTCTTTGATTCCATGTCCCCAGCACCTGGGCCAGGGCTTGACCCATAGGAGCACCTCTGTAAATATTTGTTGACTGATTGAAAAAGAGGATAACGTTTGTATTACCTCCCATCGGAGCCCTAGTTGAATTAGCATAGAACCCACGTTGCTGTGCACCGGGATCGGCTGTGCAGAGATTGGAAGCCGATTCAGCATTCAGGCGGCGTCGCCTCCATGCAGGTGGCAATGACCACCATCCGTTTGTTGGGTGACACACACAGAGTTCAACGTGGGTGTTTCATTGTTGGTGGGCCCGTTGGTGCAGCTCAGCAAGCAGAACCTAAAAATACCCGCTCTTCCCGCGCCCTGCGTCTCTGTGAGCCGGGGAAGCCTGCGTCTCCTGCCTAGATGAGCGTCTCCTGCCTAGATGAGCGCCTCCCCCGTGGCATCCGTGGCTTTTGGGTTCTGTCTACATTCAGGTCTGTGCCGCTGTGTTAAACGCCCCTTGCCCAGCAGGGAGGAAGGGAGACAGCAGCCGTGGGACCGCGGAGAGCACGCTGAATCCTGCTTCCCGTTGGATGCAAAGGAGATTTGTGAGGCCTCAAAGGGGCTTTTTTTTTTTTTTAGATGGAGTCTCCCTCTTGTTGCTCAGGCTGGGGTGCAATAGCGCAGTCTCGGCTCACTGCAACCTCCACCTCCTGGGTTCAAGGGATTCTCCTGCCTCAGCCTCCCAAGTAACTGAGTAGCTGGGATTACAGGCGTGCACCACCACACCCGGCCTCTCCAAAGAGGGGCTCTTTGGAGAGAGCCCACCAGCTCCCGTGTCTGTAGTTGTCCATCACGTGAGAGAGAACAGAACGCATCTGCAGGACGCTGCAGGGCCCACCGTTTCCCAGCGCCGGCTTAGTCCTGGCTTTCCAGCACTTAGCGAGTTACGTGTGTGACCGCAGCGTTGTGGCTGGGATGTAAAGCAGGGGCAGGAAAACGCATCTTCCCTGTCTATAACACGTGGGAAGGCATTCCAGGCCTTCCCTGGTACCAGCGAGCTTATCTTCTCAGCAAAGCTGCTGTGATTCTACTCCCTTATTCTCCTTCCTGCAGATGAAGAAACTGAGACTGGGGGAAGGTGGTAAATAACATGCCAGGTAACTGGGAGAGTGAGTGGGGAGAGCCGGAGTTTTGGCCCGCAGATGTGTCTTCCCCACTGCACAATGAGTAAAACTCTAAAAATTACTTGGCAAGGCCAGGCGCAGTGGCTTATGCCTGTAATCCCAGCACTTTGGGAGGGAGGCTGAGGCAGGTGGATCACCTGAAGTCAGGAGTTCTAGATCAGCCTGGCTAACATGGTGAAACCCCGTCTTTACTAAAAATACAAAAATTAGCCAGGTGTGGTGGCGGGCGCCTGT